AAATTATACAACATTGATTCTGGAAACTACAGTTCATGTTTGGTTTCATAATCAGGCCAAAACTACATGACTGGGTTAATGACAATGTTTGGGTGGGTTAAGGTAAAATTTGGCAAGCTGACTATCACATAGAGACACCTTACAGGTGAGAAACCAGCTGTGTCGACTAAAGGGCAGCATTTGAAGCCCTGAGACTGACCAAACATCTATCCATCTGTCCATCCAGACATCCTGTTAACTAGAGGGATGGACCCTATCCCAGCTGACTTTGGGTGAGAGGGTGGGGTACTCCCAGGTCACTAGTCCATCCCAGTGGGTATAATTCATAAAATGATTATTTCCTGTTTGAAACACTGACATAAATAAACATAAATTATGACATCACCAGTGATTAGTGTGAATTATTAATTACTAGAGTTTAAATTTTAAAAATAAAATTTACTAAAGTTTAATTAAGTTTATTAGCAATGGTTCTTTTAAAGTTTTTCAGTCAGGTGCTTATGTTATAATGAAAGTGTTTCTGCTACTACTCACAGTGGACATTAGGAGACATAACAGTGCTGTAAGCAGGAAAAACACGTTAGACCTTATATAAAACTAAGATGGAGCTGCGGCACATACTTGACAGAGTAAAGGGATATCATTCAGTTTCACTTGCTGGGCCCACGTCTTCATTTGAGGTTTGATAGCGTTTTAGCAGATAAAGGTGAATGGCTTGGGTATGAATTGAGCTGCAGTTTGGGGAAAGCCTTGAAGGGGACTGGCCGTGGCTCCCGGGCCTGGCAGATCCCCGTGTACTAAATATAAGTGAAGAAGTTAAAGAATTAAAAGGGGAGTGAGGGAGGGGCATGTAAACAAGAAAGAACAGCTTGTAGAACTGGGGGAACCTATATAGATGAGAACCGGAAGGAGCGTGTTTGGGGGCGTGGTCCCGCTTCTGAAATTCAGATACTTTATTTCCAATTATTTAGTACAACCTTTGCCTTTTTTCCTCTCCTCCACAGCTCAAGACTGAAATATTGTTTGGAGACACGCAAAGAGTGGAACTTTTCAACTCAGGTTACTGAGTTACTGTCACGATCTGCGGGAGCAGACTGTGTGAGCTGTGAATTGTGGACCCAAACGCAGATACAAAGGGAGGCGGAGCTTGACTTAAGTGTTTTTTTATCATGGCTGATTACAAGAAGGCAAAACAAAGCAACAAGGACAGTAGCGAAACTAAACTAGAACGTAAACTGGGAAAACTAAAAACTATGAAAACTGTGACTCAACTCTGAGATCTATGAGAAGACGTGAGGGAGGTAACACAGACGACCTGGCAAAGACAGAATGAAAACACACAGACTAAATACACACAGGAGGTAATCAGGGGAAGTGGAAACATATGGAGAAACAGCTGACAAAAATTAACATCATGACGCCACAGGGAAAAGTAGCACTAAGCACGAGGAACATATAAACAAGACTTTCAAAATAAAACAGGAAACATGATGATATAAGTGAAGTGAATTCTTTAACACAGGGGATGAAGACACAAGGGGAATCTGATGATAAACTATAACAAGGCAACGTAGGCAAAATAGACATGAGCACATAAACAATGAATATCAAAATATAAGAAAACTCAAAAACACTGGGTTACGACCCAGGACTGTGACAGTTTGTGACCTTTGACTCTGACTTCCACTGACAGGAAGCGTATTGAACTGAACTGGAATGCGTACAAGAGTAAACTAGCTCTAGAGATTTATGTTTTTTAAATGGTCAACCTATTCTTCAAATCGCTCATCCAAGTGCATTATTGCATCAGTGGTAAGATAAAATCTTTACAGTATATGAATACGAGATAACGTTTATATTCCTTAGTATTACTACTTTGATAGACAAGTCTTTGGAATAGGTTGCTTATTTTCCTTTTCCTTGAATATGAAGGGAAAGCATAACAATAATATGAATTCCTGGTATGAAATTAAAACATGATTTCTTACCACAGAGACACCATGGACTGACTGATGCTACAGTAAGGATGCAATCAGTCTCATTCATGACGTCAAAGAGGGAATGTATTGACTGGCTGACACCTGATTTTAAATAAATGGCCCATGCAGGCCTCATACATCAGCAAATTGATCCACTGGTGTAGGTGGAACTACCTCAGTGTGTGTGGTCTCCCATATGCTATATATGAATCAGTGAGACTTGTGGACAAACCTAATTTGAGACAACCCCGCTAACCTCCGCCTCTTAAACTTCCCACATCTGGGTAGAAAGTCACACTGGGGGAGGGGGGGGGGTAACAGTTTAAACAAAAAATGAGAAAATGGAGGAGGGATTCAAGGCCAGACGAAGAACTAGAAAAGAACAGGCAGTGTGGGGGATGGTGAGAGATGAAGAAAAGACTGAGAGGCAGTGAGAGAAAAAGACACATAATCCCTGTGCTCCAAGTGATAAG